CATGTTCATTAAAATTTCAATTTCGTTTTCATTTCATTTGGTTTTGTTTATCGTAATAACTTTCAGTTAAGAATTATGCTGGTACATTTTCTAGTTTATTAGATGTTTTGTTCTCTTTTCTTAATATTGAAACTATTTTGTGGCAAAAAAAAAAACAAATTGGTCAGCACAGAGTAGGTAAACATATTTTTTTATATTCAAAGATCTTCAATTTAGACTTAGCCAGTTGCACAAATGTCTACTAAAATTGACAATAATTTAAAGCGAGATTAACGATACAAATTTGATATGAAATTAAAGGTGTTATTAACCCTGATGGACGTCTGTGCAACGGACCATATGTTGACTTCTTTTAAATATAGTCTTTATACTATGTTGAGGTAAAATATTATAATATCTACGGGCGAGAAAATTCCTTCATTGTCGAGTGGCTCAAAATACAAATTTAAAATGTCACCATATGTGAGATTTTCGCCTTGATTCCCGGGTAGCTAATTGTAGAAAATGAGTTTTCTTAAATTGTCTCTAGTCTGAATGGCAATCTAGTTATTTCCGATTTCTATAACTCAATGGATTTTAGCTACTTTAATGCAACAGTCCTATTCTTCTATTATAGTAGAGTAAGCGTAGTTTCAATCAAATAAAACCTTTTTTAAAAGATAATAAAGGTTTTATGTCCTTGCGGCTTCATTTTTCCTTACAGTGCTGTGTTTTTTTTAACATTATAGCATCGCTTAGAAAATGTATGCGTTGTTAAAATTTACATACTTACGACTATCTATTTTAAATAATTTCAGGTTAGAAATTTGCCCGAGGCGAACTGTTAACACTGTATTGTTATAACACGCAATATCATAATCGTAACAAAGAAATGGAGAGAGTGCCGATACATTCATTAGTTTTATACATGTTTCTTATTTATTCACTTCATGCGGACAATTCTAAAAGTGAAAACTTTAATGGTGCGCTTTTTTACTGATACTCGCTGCGGGCGTAACGTAATTAAGATAGGCAGACGTATGATTATTGGATGAAAATATTCATTAGTGACAGTTGGTTGATCAATCTTTGTATCATTTGGGGGTCTTTGTGAAAAAAAATGATAAATACATTTTTACTACCATTTACACTAATTCCAAACCTTTTTTTTTCTTTTATCCCTTGACATATTTATGACCTGTTATATAGGCAAACGCCTAGCGCAAGACGCTGCATAACGAATTTACAACTTTAGATATTGTTAATTTCATTCGGTAGTTCATAGTCAATGGTGAAATTTTTACCTTAGGCGATTCCTAAATATTTAGGCGACAGATTTGAGTGACTCCTAAGTTAATTGAAAACGGGCATTAGCAGCCTATATCATATCTCTCAGGGTCTCCCTCCCGTTGCATAACCGTACATTAAAATGGTCATTAATATAAAAACACATTAAAAAAATAAACTCTCATAGCTTAAAATCGTCTTTAAAACTTAATGAACGTTTGTCACTCCTATATCATTTACAAGCTTTCCGTCAGTGGCTTCGCTCGCTTGGTCCCACCTAGTAGCTTACTAACATTTAGTTCAGGTTTGCAAATATCAATAATCATCAAAATATTTTCATCATACGTTAATCCCATCTATTCGCGTTTACCAGTAGGACTGTAGGATATAAATACTGCGTGGTAAGAGTAGTCAAATAATATCTATTTAAATACAGTACTTATCACCGTCGATCTAGTTTTTTTACTAAATATTTTCTCATTTCAACATCGACCTATTAATGTCCCTATTGCACAAGTCAGGAAGAATTGGCCACGACCCATCATGGGGGTCACTGTGGATTTATGGGTGTTGACGCCTGAAGATGCAGTCAGGGCTTTCGAAGGAACTCGAGACAGTAAAATTTTGACCACTCATACTATGACCAGTTCTTGCGAAAGTTGCTTGACTACCACATGGAAGAGAGCGCTAACCGCGTCATGAAACTTCATTTTCTTAGTTGAGAAACTAAAACATTAAGGCAAGTTAAGTAATCTTTTGTTTATTTAACTTGCCTTAACATTACCTATAACTACGTACAACTTTTTATGACGCTAAGATATGCATTTCAGTGTAACCGCTCGCCCCAGCATGGAGTAGGCGGTTTATGTGGGGCTCTCCCCTTCGGATCCCTTATAACGAGGGTAAGCCAAAAAGCTAGGGCATACCTACTTAACCTAACGATATCCTGCTCCATAAAAGCGACGGGGAAGGCTTGAAGACCACTTCCCTATAGGTTTGTACACACAAGCAGTTGAACGAAGTGTAAAAATAGTAACAGAAGTTGCAATGCCGGCATGTGACAAGAAAACAAGAGATGGTATGATTCATTCAAAACTTGCTTCAAGGAAAGTAATAAATAAATATTGTTTTTGATAATTTTTAATGTGTATTTGTTGAAGTTTAATGTTTCAAACATCAATATGTCTTTCTCTAAATATTCGTTGTTTTAATAGTTTTTTAAGAAATTTCTAGTAATGAACTTATGACATTTCGTAATACGTGTTTTCTTTTTTTCAATAACTTAAAATCTCATTGCGTATGTTTCATTATTCGTTTTTACGCTTAAACTACTTATAATAATATACTACAACATACTATTACTGTTAGGATTCGATTGACAAACTTTTTTTGACCCACCCTAATGTACATACCTACATGTACTATTTTATTATATACCTACTATTCTCAATAGAAACTTAACTACTCCAATTTTGCCATTTTACTATCAACCTGAAGTTAAATATTATAAGTACAGTATCTTCTTCACATATCAATGGTGACAGATATATAATAACATTGGACAGGTAGATAGTACAACGGTAAATTATTACGTAAACATTATCAGAATTGGTTTAAAGCTTTGAACTCGACATCGAGCACAGCACAGCATAAAGCTTAAATGAAATAAAATCTTTATTACCAGCACGCATAGAGTTCTACAAAGATTTTATTACAGAATGGCACAGCCGATATCATATCGATTCTAACCTGCCTCTTTTCACGTTTAACACTAAATGAAAGTAGGAAACTGTGCGGAAAATGAAGCGATTGTACCCGTTGTAATATGCTTACAATGTATCTTTTTTCCGGGCAGCGTCTGCATTCTTATATTAGTTATCCTAATATTTCAATTAAACTTTTAAAATAGGTAAAAACTAAAGCAGTTGAGGTAATTAAAAGGATATAATAAGTTCGTAAAATAAGGTTATGTTTATTGACAAAAACACTGTTTCATTATGAATCATTTTTCTTTTATTTCATTATACTTATAATGTCAATTTCTAGACTTATTTCTAGAATATTTTGTTCGATTTATATTCTAACGTTAAAATGAAGAAAGATTTGTTTCCTTCTTAAAAATTTAAACTTTTGAATGATACCGAAGCCAGTCAGTTACAAATGGTATTCACAACAAAGATTTTATTTCAAGCTTATGCATACTATATGAAAGTCTTTTCCCCCAATCTAATATGTCGGTTACGAAATTTTCAACTCAACCAGAGACCACCTACTGCATTGCTATTACGTTATAAAAATAACCTCGAACTCGACGTCGATCGCAGCGCTTTCATAGCATAGAGATTCAATGAAATAAAACCTACTTCAAAAGGTAATAAAGCTTAAGTTAGAGACTGACTGATTAGAACGCAGATTATTGTTCAAAATTATAACAAATTTCCTGTCAAAACTTTTTCAATTATATTCATAACTATAGTGAACGAAACCGATAAATCAATGTGTACAAGAAAACTTATTTAAAATATAATGTGTCAATATGTCAAGTGATAGTGTAACACAATATTAATAGTATAAATAAGTGTAAATGTTAAGTGTTATGACGCAACTTCCTCAGGAAGTCATGTTGTCGCGTCATCGAATGTCGATGTCGGTGAGGACCGAGCCACCTTTCGTTTGCAAAGCTGTTGTTACACTTCATGTGATTTTATAGTAATAATATCGCTTTTAGATAAATATTAGTGTGATTATAATTTGGCCAATTATTTGTAGCCAATTAGTATATATACAGAGTATTTATATATTATTTGACATTCAATAATTCTACGACTATTAACTACTTTTTTTCTGCTGAAAAATTGAATTCGTTGATGATCATTTGCATTAATTATATATAAACAAACACTTTACTATAGCTATCCAAAACAGATTTTTCAAGAACAAGGACTTTTTTACCTAGTGTTAGCAGGTACAGCCGACAGCACGCCAGGTTATATAAATGTGTCAAGTTTTTTTCGTAGTAAGGAATAATTCAAAAATCTTAACACAGTTGAGTTAATTTTATCATACAATTCTCTAAATTTTCTCAAAAGAGGTAATCGCCTAAAGTTAGTTAGTATCCCCAGTGCTAAGACTCGGGCCTTCCACTGATTTGTATCTATAAATTTCTCTGACTATTACGTGAAGTAAGTATATAAAGACAAAGTAGTTATAACCGACATGTATTGTATGGACGCTAAAATTTTATTACTATCACATATTTGGCGTAGTTTATGATTCGCTATAGCTATCCAACAGTAGTGTATTACAAGGTTATATAATCCAATCTTGTTGGTGGATATAGCAAACTTGTAATTTATATAATTATCAACCTTTCGCTTCGGTTCCAATCGTATTACGAGTTGTTATGTTGTTTATACTATATAAGAAACTAGGCTAAATATCGATGATCGTAACGGGATATAAATAATACGAGTAGTTTAGGATCGGTTCAAATCTGACGGAAGATCCGTCAAGCATTTCACGTTAGTATGTTATTGGGCGACGGAATTACCATCAAGGATGCATGGTCGACTATCGTATCATATAAATTGACAGTTCTTACTTCTGACGTTCCGGGATCGACTAGAAGCGAAGCATTTTCCGTCTTAAATGCACCGAAATTATTATAATTATTAGGCATGATTTACTGTTCTAAATATATTATGAATATCGAAAAAAAAAATATACATACATACCTTCACAACACCCTAGCGGCTTTCAGATAATAAAACCTGAAACAAAGCACGTAAGTTTATTCAATCTATAGGGGCTTTATACTTCACTAGCGTTTCACTGTCCCCAGTGAATTGTTTATTTGGATATCCATTCATATCTTACGGGAATATTTACAATGACAAATTGAATAGTAAAAAATGGTTACTATAGTAACATTTTAATTCCATATACAAAGTTCTACTCCCATTTTCATCGCTTTATTTAAAAGTTAGTCCATTTTCACCAACCGCAAATGATTTAGCTTCCCGTAGGTGAAAGAATTTTCAAAATAAGTCTAGTCCAACCAAGTTTTTCCTCTTTCTAATATTATAAGTTGTATTTATAATCGAGTAAAAGTAGCATTTGTAATCGATAGACGAGAATTCGAATGAAGTAAGAACTGTGAATAGCTAATAATAATAGTGTTCTAACTTTATCGATTATAAAATCTGCTTCAGTTACTCGACTTGCTTGACTTTTGATTCAAGTGTTAGGTGAAAATTTGTTTTTTCTTTTAAATGCCAAAAACATTCTTATACATATAAATTTACTAAATCAGGTACCATATTGAAATAAGTTACGTTTAACGTATAAATTTCCATCTAGTTGAGTGTTTTAGTAATCTATTCAAACTCTTAGTATATTTGATATTCAGGTAGCTTTATCTCGGGTTAGTGCCCTGAGATAAGAGAACTTAGCTTACAAACACAGTTAAAACGTACAAAGTGTTCCGTTACTGTGATATAAGCGATAAGAAAACGATGAAGGTTAAGTTATAAAGAAAAAACGGTGAAGATCGAGTCGGATTCTTACCATAAGATTCCGTATAAATATTATAGATTTTAAAAATTATAAGACAGTATATCCTGTGATCCATACCTATATAATTTTTTTTCTGTTCTGTTCTCAATTTTCATCTATTTTAGTTTTATGAAAAAATGAGCAGAGCCATTAATAAAGTAATTCAAGTAAGAACTTCCTTTTTAATTTTCTGTCATGTTTTTAAATTATTTATTTACGTTTATCTTTGAGCCATCAATTGAATTGCGTACCAATTTATAGTAAGTATGAATATTCTATATTGTTTGTAATACATATATATTCTTATTTATAATAATTCAATTAGTTGTTATTATAGAGTAAAGGTGCAGGTACACCGACATGCTTATTATAAAAAAATGAGTTTTTGGAATAAATTAGTATTATTATTATTCTAACGGATGGACTGATAGATTTAAACAAACGGACATACGAGTGATTTTATAAGATAGCGTATTGTAATTGTATTTTTTTTTTGTTCATCATTTCAGAAACAATCTTCGAATGCGATTTAAAACATAATTCGGTAAAGTGTGCAAATAGAAAAACAAAATTTCACTGTTAAAGTTCCTGTTTTCATAAGGCTACATTGATATTTAATAGAGATATAAATAGCCATACTTCTCACACATACATTATATTGCATTTCGGGCAGTAATACAACTACAATAAAAGCTCATAAGCCGTCAATTCGCGTGGCGTAACCGTATACTTTATAAGAATGGGAATGGTCGTTAAAAACTGAACTTACGCCATTTTTATTATGAATGCCGCCCCACACAACTAGTGTCGCCAGGCTTTAGAATAAAGTCGGACACAGGCTTCTCGGTTGTTTGTGCGGTTAAATGAGACAATGTCCGGTCTGTGCAACTTTTGTTAGACTTTTAACGTTCGACCATTTATTAAATAGCTCACGTGTTAGTTGCTAATAAGAATACCCTGGGTATACCCTCCATTGGGGGTGGCACAGGAAGGAGGGGCCAGCTACTCTCAGATGTCGTGGTATCTACGTTGTTTCAGATTTCCACAATACAGGTGCTTCAGCTAATTATTTTGGGATCTGAGAAACGTATGTGATGTTGTCTGTTATTTACTTATTTATTTCCAGTAATTTTTTCGTAACTTAATTCATATAATTAAAGCCTATATCACTCGCGTATGATGAAGCTTCCCGTAGGTGATAGAATTTTCCTTATCGGATCAGTATTTCCGAAGATTGTCCCATACAAACAAAAAAAAGTAATTTATATGTCGCAGAATATCTCCATCATCGTTACGAAGATCGTTTGATTTAGTTTCTTTTTTTAATTGCTAGTTACTCGATTACTTAATTACTCGATTGTAGAGAGGGCGTGATCATCGATGACTTTGACAGTTCGTTAACGAAAAGCACGTTGACACCATTTTGGTAGACATTCTGTTCCCGATCGTCAAGGAGTAAATACATCCGATGACATCACGCTCATCTCGTTATATTTTCGTATGAAAAGTGATAAAATGGAATACATCCATATTGATATACACGCCTGCATTGTTATTTTAAAGATAGTCCTCCGATATGGTCTATCTATTTGGGCTTCGTCATAGCCCCCTGAGACTACCCGCCGACATATATATTACCACTTTATAATATTTATTAGTAAAGATTAGATTTAAGTTTAAGTATATAAGATTTTATAGGATACAAATAAAATCTTGATGAATGGATATATAAAATCTTGATTTACAACAAAAATAAAGACCCGGTTTATTCGGCTAAATGTGTCAGTCTGTCGGAAGCAACTAGACGGTCTGTCCGGCTTTTCGGTTGTAATACCTGGCGACACTATACATACATTGCAGAGGAATTGTGAAATTCACTAACTCGTATTACTTTGTGAATAGACATACGTAATGTTGGCAACGACAACCTGCCTCAATAACTGTTTATTGTAATGTACAAAGTAGTTAAACATAACGTGGCTGTATGAAAGATCGGTTTCGTTGGAGTATTAGATTTTATTATATCTTAACTTTCAAATAAAATTTTCTTATTTTTAAATGATATCTAAGATCTAAACTATTTTAATGGTTTATATTTATATTGTTTATACTAAGAGAAAAATATTAAGAGATTATTATCTGATTAAGAGAAATAGTAAATATCAATGAAATTACGTGTTATTATATTTATATGCTTTAAGTATTATTTTATGTGCATTTATTTAAATTAATTTCAGGGAAATTTTTGTGCTAGAAATGTGTATACTTATATATTTTTAATTAAAAGGCCTCATAATCAATTTTATTCGAAAATTAAAACATGAAATCTAACTTAATTAGTGGTTTTATAACCGCAATACTGATGTTTATTACATACAAAACCCATTAGGCTTCAATTTCCATTACAGACGGTAATCAACAAATTACTTTATCCGTACATGTTATAGATTAGAACATACTATCAATTGGTCCAAGGTTCAGTGTTCAACACGCACAATCCAAATTCCATCTCATATGGTCAGTCATTGACTATAATTTGTGGTGATTATTGACAAAATAACAGTATGATTGCTAGCCGGTTACGTGCTTGATTAATGTCGAATTTTATAGGTGTTATGTGCCAAAATAATAGGTATTGCGGTTTCAACCGTTAATTTACTTTCGTATTAATACTTAAACTATTTGGTAAGCCACTATAACGAATAAAAAACAAATGTAATGATGATGAAATTTCTATAGACTTGTTTTCTTATTTTATTTTCGAGGCATTCAACAATACTGTTTTATATTTTCAATATCTATCTTTTATAATACACTTACAATACAATAGGGAGAATAGCACACCACACCGGCTCTCTTAAGGACACTTTTTTAGGAGCTAAAAATTTCAAGCATCTTATTATTACGACTTCAAGATGCAAATATGTGAGAAATAAATGTTCTGTTAGAGCTCTTTGGATATACAATTGACGTAAATAAAAAGAAACATGCTAATTCGTAAAGTCTCCTTAAAAGCAACACTATTTATATGTCGTATTGTGTGCATTCCATTTCTTAACGTTAACTACGTAACATTAACACTGCAAGTAATAACTTGTCATTGGAACTCGTACAAAAGGTGATCTCTATAAAACCGAATACGGTATTTGGCGAAAGTTTGGACGCGTAACTTCCTTGCTTCGGTTTTTTAAAGGTACATTTGTATTTTTCTATTCTATTACAGGTGTGTTCGGTAACTAATTTGCGTTATTGAATCTGTAAGAAGCAAAACGATATCATGTCTGTTGAATGATACAAATTACAAACGATAAATTTTACTGATATCGACTAATATACTTTATTGTTTTAAAATCATTTTTACACTCAATTTCAAACCAATGATTGAATCAGTTTTTAAATTATGTAATCTATTGTCATTTATTTACTTGATTTAAAAAATAACGCACAGTTTCGTCTTTTAATTCGTGGTTTAAAACTTGCTATTAATATTAAAACCTATGATTTTTTTAAGCGTTTCTCTTTAATGTAACTTCCTTTGTTAATTTCTTCTCATAATTATATACTTTAACTATTGATAGTCATGTGATTAACTATGAAGTCATTTGCGTGCAATTAACCAAAAATAGTTTATATCACACAATAAGTCATTTTGTGTCCTTTTCTATCTCATTTAGTGGCACGTTGATTAAGTCTCTTTCTTATATTTTTAGGCGCAGCTTTAAAAATAAATTAAATCCTCAAATCCTAGAGAACGTAAAGTCACAGTTCGATCACGTATTACGTTCAATAAACGTGCAGATATAATGTACCTTATCTAATCCAAGGTTCTATTATACACTTCCTGTGTGGAACCAGCTCAGTGCCAGCGTCCAGCAAACCGGTTTAGGGCTATTTGGTAACGGGAACATTTACTGAGGGTTGCTACTAAGGGTAGGAAAAATAAATTTCAATGCGATTATTGTCAAATGGCTGTATTTCCTTCAATTGGAATTTGTTACGGTGAACATGTGAAACTATTAAATATAGACAGAGTAAGAAGTGACCCCTACAATTCATAGTTTTTTTTTTATTTCTTCTCGTTATTATAAATTACGTAATTATATTATAAAGAGAAAAATTCTATTGTCTATTTTGTTTGATTGTGATGGATGAACTCAAAAACGACTGGTATGATTATAATAAAACATATTTCTTCAATATAAACACACATTATCAG